TGGCACTCTCCGACATAGTTGACTGACCAAGAATCGAAGCTATTGCAGAGTTTAGACTGCGTACAGGACACGATTGCCTGGCGAAGCACCTCTACGGAATAGGAGTATACGCTCAACCAACGTGCCCCCACCCCTATGTGACCTANAATGCACAGATGAAATCATCTTTCATCTAATAAAATGACTTTGGATTAACTCCACACCTGTAAAATGGGGATATCTGGTGACACAGAGAGACCATAGTGGCAGAAATTGGGTCACCTGGCATTTACGAAAATCTTTCAGCCTCGAAGTAAGTAATAATTTCAATTGGAAACAGAGAGCCACCCAAAACAGCCGAGGTACAGGAATGTAAAGAACTGTACCAGATACTGAGAGAGAAAAAAACAAAAGACTAGTTCTTCAATGGATCCCTGGACACTGTGGCATTATAGGTAATGAGCTTGCTGATGCACTTGCTAAGAAGGGGACTACAATTTTGCAAGGCACAGGCCGGCCGATGTCTTTCCATACAACGAGGACCTTAATCAAGAGAGAATTCAAGACCTCAGGGTGTGACGAACTTAAAGCTCGAAGAAAGGAGAAACAGTGGACAGTGGCACTCTCCGACATAGTTGACTGACCAAGAATCGAAGCTATTGCAGAGTTTAGACTGCGTACAGGACACGATTGCCTGGCGAAGCACCTCTACGGAATAGGAGTATACGCTCAACCAACGTGCCCCCACCCCTATGTGACCTACAGGAGGAAGTGGAGAAGACCCACCTGTTTCGGTGTCCAGCTCTAAAGACATCGACAGAAACCCAGAGATACTGGGAAGCGAGAAGGTACCTAATGCTCCCCTCCCCCCCCCCTTGTGAAGACCGAAGTAAACTAAGGGGCTAATGATAAATATCATAAAGCCTGTCATAGTAATAAGATCTTGGTAGTATACCTCGAGTGTACTCGTTTTTCAGCACTCCTAGTAGCTGAATTAATGCAACTTCCAAGACTCATTTTCGGCGATTTAGGTGCGATGGAAAAGCTATTCAAATTTGAGACTAATTTCGTACAGATATTCAATGAAACTGGCTCTCACCTACTACAGGCAATTAATAAATAAAAATTTTAGTGTGGGTGAGAAGTTCACGAAAACTTTATGCAATTCCGTTGTTCCACCAATAGGGAAAAACAAGTCAGTCACTTCATAGTTGCAACTTTTGGTCCAAACGTCTCATTGTGTGTTTCTATTACAAAATGCTTCCTTGCAAATAGGCTTGAATGGGTTGACTACCTGGTTACCTTCTCCACACTGTCTGGTCACAAATCCAAACATGAGCGTGAGAGACAAATCGAATCGTCAATACGAAGTCTTCAAGTTCCCCCCCCCCCCCAAGAGTATAATGATAAGGCCTCCCTACAATTAAATTGAAATTTGTTCCAAAAAAATAGAAAACGCCGACCTCAGCTACTCCTCTTTTTGCCTTCAGTAAAGTTGGGAAGGGGGAACAGCGCCACCAAAATAAAATAAATAATTAAATGATTTTTTACTCTGTCATCGAAATATAATATTTGATTATGAAAAATAGAAAGAAGTCAGTATTGAAGGTGGAAGTTGTGGCTGCTCTAGATTCTTAATTAACAACTTGTCATGTCGTGTCGAGGAAGGCAGTCGCGCTGTACAGCCAATCAATCTGTATTTAAACCGATTTATAATTTCAGAGTAGATGGAGCCTATCATCTTCAAGATCCAAGTAACCTTCAGGTAATGATCAGGTGGCAAGAACCTTAGCAGTCAATGAGGTAAGCGATCATAGTTAATGAGGGCCAATTCCGGCTGGGTTATAACCAACGCTAATTCTAGGAACAATAATAATAAGAACTTGCAGCCCGGGAAAAAGAGGTAAAGACGGCAAACATTGGTTGTTGTTGTGGCTGTGGCAGAGTTACAATGGCGAGCCTCAATGACCTACCTCTGCCATTCAAGCGTGGGACTTCGGTAGTCCGCGCGTATACTGCACACTTACCCTTCTCATAAAATTGGTGTTTCTGCAAATTTCAAAATCACATAAGCTAAGCAGTAACGAAGCACTAACTTAGTTTAGCTTGAGTAACTTGAATTAGAGATAGAGTTACAACAAGGACTTGCAGTGAAACGAGGAGAACAAATCAACCCTCGTCCTATATATTTTAATTAGATTTAGATCAAAGTAAGAATTCCATTGGGCTTGACTTCAGATTAGTTAAATCCAAATAGATCTTACGATAAATGGCCGGACATCCAGAAGTGGTAACGAAGCGTGCCATTCCATCAGAGTCAAAGAACAGCCAGTCTCCTTCTTAAAAGGTAATTTTAACCGCTAAGATAACAACCGCAATAATTCACCAAAGACAAGCACTATAAGAAGCGTCCAACTAATGTAATCACCTACTGTAAGGCCTTGACACTTTGTTTTAAAAAAAATAACAGAAGAAAGGCTATATTGCAAAATCCGAGACTCTGTACAGGGAAGAAAGATGTAATGCGTACATCTACGGAATCTCTAAGAATTACATTGATCTACTAGTAACCTCAGGTAGTGGTGGTAAATTTGGTTCTTGGCCTTTCCATGGCTTGGGTCTTCCAATTGCAGAAGAACATGGGACTTGTCCAAAAACTTCACAAATACACTGCCGGGGATACCTACATTGATAAAAAAATAAACCTATTCAATCACAAACTTACTTTGTTCCAAAGTTTGCAGGATTAATAATTTTCTGATTCTCAACTTCCTCCTTTTTTATGGTATCTGGAGTTTTTGCGCAGATTTCTGCAATGTGGTTATGAATACTATCAGCGGTATGAAAGGAGCAATCAACATTAAACTCTCGTCCATCAGAAAGGTAGAACTTAATAAAAGGAGTTGGGCATATGTCTTGAAATGTTACAATCTAAAGGTGATTTTAAAAGAAAAAAACAAAGGAATTACTTGAACAGAGGGATTTTTATATTGAAGTGGTGGTAAATGCCACCGAATAAATTCTCGAGCGCCATCGGATATGTTGCCTTTTGAAAGAGTATTGATAGTCATCACTTTTACATTTTCCCGGAAAACAATTCTTCCTGCATTTAAGTACTTTTTTGTGCGAGTAACTGCATATCGCCCACCCTTTAAAAGAGGCATTGTCAAAAACTAGGCTAAGTCGTAAGTTAAAATTGTCCTTCATAAGTACTGTGCAGTGATTAATGTCTTCTGCAGAAATATGTTCAGTTACATAACCATTTTTAGTTAAAAATAAAATTAACTTTTTATAAACATCATAAGTGCTTAGGTCAACATTTATTGAAATCCGATTTATTCGTTCGATGAAAGTACTAATTCAAAAAATTTCCAAATATTTGATAGCAACAAAGTATAACAATTTAAGACTTATTATATTTGATTAATGTGTGTATAAATTCTAACCGGCTTCGATTTTTCTGCTAAAAACCGCAATTCATGTTCCATTACTAATAGTACATTTGCCTCACTCGCACTCAATAGGACTGGAGTTTTATCTGCTGAGCAATTCGTTCCAATTTTTTAACTATAGTTGAATTTACCTGCATCCTTTAGCGAACAGAATGAAACGCAAGGAAATTAAGCTTTAGGGAACATGAAAGTGCTGAATTTTGGTTCAATTTGATCAATAGAATGTGTTTGTCTACACTTTATGGATGATACTTTAACAGAACTACTCATGTCACCGTTTATCGCAGCTGATCTTTTAAGTATTACAAATATTACGCTCACTAGTGTAGTTTATAATTTCTAAATAATTCCTATTTTCGGTAAGGCCGTCACGCTTTAGCACTATCTTCGAGCTATCAAGGTTAGAAAAATTAAGGCCCATTTTACAAAATCCGGCACCTTCATGCAGAAAAGGGTTGTGTGCTGGAATTCGAAATGATTTCTCGAGTACGTAAGAGTGGCACTATCTTAAAAGGCTTCTTAATTTGTAGCACATCGTAAAGTATCTGTTATCATTTTAATACATTTACCAAAGACCATGGTCCGTTTTCCACTTTTTCGACTACATATCAAACTAGCCAAGAAGAAATATGGATAAAATTGTATGTATAATTTTGCTTAATGCTCTATAAACTCACACCCAAAGTAACGAGTATCATTAACCACCTGTTTATAATTGTGCTCAGAGGTTGTGAGGTAGGCTTGTCTCCACGTGGCGCAGCCTGGGCAACGTATACTCATACGGCAAAAAAGTCTATTAAATGGCTTGGAAACGTGACCTCATACGGCAAAAAGTCTATAAACCGCTGGGCAACGTATACTCATACGGCAAAAAAGTCTATTATGGGCAACGTATACTCATACGGCAAAAAAGTCTATAAACAAGGAAGTTGACCTCTCACTTCAAATTACTATGACCCCACTGCATGTCATATTCGATTATTTCCACAGTACTCACTTAACCGTTTCTCTGCCTGTGTAGGTCTCATTTGCATCTATGAAACTACTACTAAAGGGCTACCGATAATTATCAAAACGCCTGCCTTTTGATGTAAATGATTGTGGACTTGTGAAAGTATTAGTTAATACACTACTACACACGCTTTAGTAATATCTATTACTTCGCATCCAAAATGTTACAAGCGCATTACAGGATTGAAGGCCGAAAATTGGACTAACCTGCATATCTACGAAGAAAATTTATTTATATCAAATGGCAGGCGTTTTGATAGTTATCATTAGCCCTTTAGATGACTTCAGGCTTCACAGATGGGAAGGAACATCAAAGTGTAAAAGGTCGAGAAGAAAATAGAATAATGCCAATGGAAACCAACAAATAAAGTCGAACCTCTATTACTAGAATAAGATTAAACCCACAATCATGACACCAACTCTGTTGTAGAAACTGTTTACGTATCACTCGTTACATTTGAGGCAACTTCTGAATTGTTAATTTGGAACCCGAGGAGTAAAGAGAACCATTTAGCTCACGAAACAGACCATCCTACCCGTCATATTTACTAAACGACAGAAGGGAACAAACGAAGAGGTTAAATCAACTCCTTCAAAATTAGCAGGTACGCAACTAAAGTGGCATTGCAGAATTTCCACTTAAGAGAAAAACAGCGCTGATATTAGTAGCCAACGGATATTAAAATTAACGATTTAGCAAAAGACAACATGAGATCAGATAAAACCCGAAATACAAACAATATAATGCAACACAGATATCACATCCGAATAAAAAAACGAGTAAATCGCAAACAAAAAACCGGAATGCAAACCGAGCCTAATTTTAATCAAGCAAGTGATAAATACGATAACCACATAAAAATTAAGTGTATTTATATGATACCGATTTTGTTGGCAACATCAAGAGCATCAAAGTCTGGGGGAAGCTTAACATAAGCCTTTTTGATGTTCTTGGGGCAATTAAGTGTGTTGACTTTAGCAACTTTGATTTTATACATTTCTTGTACTGCTGCCTTGATAGCCGGTTTGTTCGCACGCCGATCAACAACGAAGACTAAAGTATCATTGTCCTCAATTTTTTTCATTGCAGCCTCAGTGGTAACTGGGTGTCTAATTATACGGAAGGGATCAAGCTTATTTCGTTTTGGAATTTCGAAACGGCGATCCTTAGGACAACGTGGAGGTTTGTAGGTCTTTGGTCTGCGGAATCGCACACTGTACCTAACCTTCTTCTTGCCATGAGTATGTGGCCCAGCAGTAATAGCCTTCTGGGCTTTTAAAGCTCTGGCAACAATAGCCTTCTCTAAAAAATAGTAAATATGAGAAAAACCACTTACTTGATGTGGCCTTCTTGGAAATCTTTCCACCCTGAAGTTTGTTGGACACACCCTTACCAGACTTCCTTTTCTCAGTGGAAGGTTTCACAGACTTTGTCGCTTTTTTCGTTGTGGCACTAGGAGCCATTTATACAAAATACACACTTGTAGAAGTGAAGTCGTGCGCTAACGTGATTTGCGCCATTTAAAACGAATAATAATTTTAGCATTAATTAATATATATTTATACTTTTTGAACCTTAAAAATGAAAATCTAAAATTATATTAATATCTATTAATGTGTAATAAATCTCATTAAATGTGAATATTCCTTGCAAAATATTATTTGACGAAATATGGGCATCTAATTCGGCAATCATTTCAAAATTCTTGTTCCAATGTGCTCTTTTGCAAATTGAGTTCTATTTTGTCAACAAAAGGTTGCTAATTCAAGTTAAGTGTTTTTCTAAGAGTTAAAATTTATTACTCGATTTGACTAAATTTATAAAATGCTAAACCTCTTTGCCTTCATACGATTTCCAAACTGGATCTATAAATGAACAAAATAAGATTATGTCATTTAAGATATTTAGGATTGTTTATTTAAACTTCAAGGTTTGATAAAGTTCAGAATTTTACGAACATTTAACTAACCTGATAATTCTCAGTTATACAAAAAAATTTGAAATGAAAATGTTTTTAATAAATTCGCAAGTCTTTTGTTTTATTCATATTAACATTGATATTATTTGAAAAACAGTGCTTAATCTATGTGAAAATTAATTTCAAACTTTTTTTATAACGTAGTATTCAATTAATTTCCAGATTTTTTCATTTTATTATCATCTTGTTATCACAAAACATATAGAACTTTATTTAAAGAATTACTTATAAATAATATTGTTTATTTGTTTAAAGTCTTCAAAATTTTTAAGGTTAAATATAGTAGTAGATTACACTGCCCCTGTACGGGAACTTGAAATTTATGCTCGTTGTGTGTGACTTTTGGATTTAGTAGTTTAAGTTTTTGAACTATCATTTCTGACTGAAATAGAGTGCTATGTTAATGTATCTTTGGATGTTTTGCGTTTTCTATAACTAATACTTGCTGTTCTATAGTGAAATTCCGAAAATGAACGAGTACAAACTGGTAGTCCTTGGTGATGGTGGTGTCGGCAAAAGCGCTCTTACTGTCCGTTTCGTGATGGGAAAGTTTGAAGAGAAATTCGACCCTACAATTGAGGATTTCTATCGCAAAGAAATTTAGTATGTTCTTTTATTTAATTTTTTCAACTCTCTGATATTAGTAATTTATTCAGAATTTCATTGAAAATGTTCTAGAAGTTCGTATTTTAGTGTATTGGAAAACTTAAGCTTTATTTGACTGTTTATCTCTATTTTGGAAACAATTTTAGGTTTTTGGCTACCCTAGATTTTGGTCTTTCTTTGCTTGAATCACTATTCTTTTCCTAAAGTGTTTCATTTTATCCAAAATTTTCTGGAACTAGTTAACGCATTGGAATTCATTTAGTTTGAATAATATTTTGTGATTTGTGGATCTGAAACGAGTTACTTCTTTTGAGTCAACTTTCTTGAATTTCTAGAGGTTTGTTCTTATTTCTAGAATCAGTTTTGTGACTTTTCATTCAGACATTCGCAGATATTCAGTCACTCTCTACACCTTTCCTACTGTTGTGATATGATTATGTTTTATAAGACTTTCGAGGTGTGGAGCTCATTTTTGGTATCCAGGTTTATTAATATCCTAAATCCTATTTTATGAGATGACTTTAATTTACTTTGGGTTTAAATCTCGTTATTTATGAATTTCAATATGTAAATCCTTCCATCTTACGTGGGTCCCATCCATTTAACACATCATTAATGAATCGCTTTTAGTGTTTTTTTAGGAAAATTAGTGTAAGATACTATACTGATTTTCCCATAATAGAAAATTGAATTTTAAAGTACTTTTGTCATCTGTCTTTTCGCTACCTTTTTCCGTATTGTATTTTTATACTTTAAGTTCCCATATATTTATAACTCCTCTTTAATTCTAGTTTATTTTAACCTCGCATTTTAAACCTTGATGAAAGATTCGTGGTTGATGTTATATGGCATCTTAAAGTTCCAACTTTTAATTAATGAGATTATTCTCTCCACACATTCTATTCTACCAATTAATTTTACTAAAAATGCGCCTACATTTTCCGAAATGACTTATTTTACTCTATGACGACGACTTAACCACAAACTGAAGCCCTTTCATTCAAATTTTCTTTTCAATTCAATTTTCATTCAAAATATAAAACTGACTTATTTTGAGCAGCATTTCTTCGGATACTTTATTTATCCCGTTAGGGATAGCTTTTTCAAGGGTCTGAGTCCTGTGTCTGGGTGTTTGCACTTTTGTGTGAATTTTTGAAATAGTTAATTTGCCAGCTGTTTATGTCGTCTCGGTGACGCCAGTGTGTTGTATGCGCTACGCCACTTTGCGAGGCATTTAATGGAATTTCGCTTTCTAACTTCACAGAAAGGTATTATTTGTTGCATGCACACAGTTAGCGCACACCGTTCCCGCCCCCCTCTCAACGAGAAATTGTTGTCTCACGTGTAAAACAGAATCTCTAACCAGCTGATTTTGTTGTATTCAATTTTTTTTTGCTAATATCTCTTTCTCCCCGTCAAGTGTATTGTTAACCAAGATTAGTTAATGCCAAACTTTGATGCTGGAAAAGTTGACAGTGAAAATAAGGATCTCGAATCCACAATATTGAAGACTTCTCTTGAACTTAAATTATTGTTTAATTTCTACTCATTCTTGGGATCTTTTATCTGATTCAGATTGCTTAGTGCTGAGTGTCTATATTAATTCGTCTGAGTATTGTGTTCTGTGATTTACTTTTATTTTTGTTATTTTCTTTTAGTAACAGAAAGATTTATAATTATTTACCTTTAGTAGTTAATATGCCCTAGTGGCACAGCGGTTCCATGCACGTCTATGGATTCCAAGCTGTCAGGTTCGATGATTTTAGTCGTCAATGGCACTAGTTAAATCTAACTTATGAAGATGTCAGTCGAATTGTTTTCTTTATCAAAGAGGCTCCTCTACGATGTGCATTGGAAAAGACATTTCTATCAGCTTTCAACTTTGATTTATTCAGTGACAAACAATATTTTTTTATCAGAAATGACCTATTTTTCTTATCATTTAAGTATTTTCCATTCTAATTTCATTGTTATTTCTGTGTCTATTTTGCGATATTTATCAACCTTATTAAGATCTTGTGGAGTTACGCTTTTGAAAATCGCTCCTTTTTGGTCCCGGTTACGCTTGAAGACATTCAAAAAGCCTGTCTCGTTTGAATGTAGCTAATTTTGTGCTGGTTTTGGCGCGCAAATGTACCTGAAGTGACGATAGCTAAGCCTCGCTAATCCCGCAAGTCACGTAATCGAGAGAGAGGGAGAGAGAGAGGTTTTTCTCACGGTGTTTCAAGTTGACGTTGTGGGCACACACAGAGGGGGGGAGAGAGAAACCCGAGTGAAAGGGGTGACCTCTCAAATGATGTAGCAGTCTGCACCATGACTTACGACGTTTGTGCAGTCTTCTCTCCTCCCCCACCCCCTCCTCACCCCTCCTTCCCCGCCCCCCC